TATTATTTCGTGAATATTTCATTATTTTTTTCTACGTCCATGAAAAGTCGTCACTGGCAAAGGAACAGAATGGTTGCAATTATGTCAGTGGGGTTTGTTCACTTACTTTTAGTTCACGATGTGCTRAGAGTGTAGATCAAGTGTTGTRGTTTTTTCCTGAAATGAGAACCGACTGACTCAAGGTTGTCGAAGCGACCAGTTATCAACGCAAACTGCAAACTAACTTTCAGCCAATAAGGAACGTTAGATCCTTGATTACRACAGGCTTCCTGAGATGATGAATTCTTAAGTCAGCGTTTGCTCGCCARGAACAACAAAAATTGGTGAGCAACTCTGATTAAAGAGACTCGCGTTAAAATTCGCTTTCGCACTTTCCCGTACGTGTACTGTGTGCAGCGGGCTCAGTTTAGTTATTACAGCAGTACCTTACACCAGGTTCTCTATGATACTTTRATCTTCTTCTAAGCACTTCCGTTGTCTTAGAAACATTCACTTAGTTTCAGCCACCCTTTTTAACAAGTGAGCCCAGAGCTCTTTAATATTATATTTGTATAAATGGTTGTGTTTTCTTGGTAATTTTTCAGATATAAATGAATGTGCAACCAAACAGCACAAGTGCGAACAGTTATGTCGTGATACTGACGGGAGTTACTATTGTGAATGCCACAAGGGCTATCAAGTTGGCAAGGATGGATTCTCGTGTGAAGGTAGAACCAACACGATATATTTTTCTGTTCTTTATCATGTCACAGTGGCGGATCCAGGATTTTTCAAAGGGGGGGTTCCACTTTGTTTTCGTATTTTCCTAAAACGAACTTTTTTACTGTGCATCTCGAACTGTAGCAAATGTAAAGACATCCACATTTCATTTATGGAAACCCCCCCCCCTGGATCCACCACTGTGTCAAGCTCAGTGTACCCTGTTGTTTGCTATGCTTTGCTTTCCTGCCTTTAAGTTTAGTGCCCTTCGTTTCTTATCGACGACTGATTAGCTCATTCGTAGAGCATCAGACTTTTATGCGGGAGGTCACGGGTTCAGTCGTTTCCCGGCTGGAACTAAGGGTCTTTTCAAAAAAACATTGAGGAGAWGTTGCTGCATTTGRTTATCGAACGTATACAATAAAAGAAGACTACAYTCTAATCAACTCTGTTTATGTTTCTAGATCAAAACGAGTGTAGTTTACCTAAGAGCTATCATCATTGTAGCCATATTTGTGTCAATACGCCTGGGAGCTACTARTGTAAATGTAGGGATGGTTTTTTACTGAGTGCGAACGGTCGGATTTGCAGAGGTAAGTCAATCAAAACCCTACAAATACATAACGTTTCCTGGCTGTCTTACCAGCGAGTGGCGGTATGTGCTTCATGTGAAAGCTTTATATACCAAAACCTTGGTATCGATCCCCTCTCAGGACACATTTATTACGGGTCCCTAGAAAACGAAGACCTAGAAAACGAAGACCGAAAACCCTGAAAAACGAAGACCCCCGTCAATTCTCGGGAAAACAGTGTCAAACAT